AATCATGGGCAATTTTATGCAAACGTATAGTGTTGCATTACACGTCACATTTTTTTTTTAGTTAGAAAAATTATATCAGTAGGCACTGCTCAATCTGAATCCCAACTGGGACATATAATGTCAATAAAAATACGTAATTTAAATTGTTTGAAACATGAGCCACGGCAGTGACATTTTTTTAGTACCCATTTTTGAGTATTTTTTTTATATTAATAACTCCCACACTCCTAAGTATAATATAATACACCCACAAACATTGAGCAGTTCAATATTATAATCGAATCAGACAAATGTGTCTTGATTATCAAAAATAATACCCGAGATAAATACTCAGATAGATTTCCATTTATTATGTAAGTACTTGAGATTTGTGGCGGGAATCCTCGAGGGACTAGTTTCCTTGATAACACGCTGAATCTCATATTATATTATTTATATGTAGATAGTTTATATTATAATACGCCTCGTATTATAAACGTGCATGTTTACTGTATATTATACGGTTCAATACAACGTCGACGTGTTGGCGGAGAGGCTTTTCATAAAAAAAATCTAATAATTTACACGCGTCATAAATGCTCGTCACGTTTTAATTTTGACGTGGCCATTAATCATAATGGGATAATATCATATCCCGGATAATATGTACCTATATAATATATTGTAATTTTAGTAAAATACAATTTCCTCTTTTGAGAACGTTAAGATTTTCAGTACACAACTTGGTAAGTACGCCACCTTTATTATTGTGACACACAATGTTATTACCTACTTTACAGCAAACGTGAAATAATATTTTGTCTGTATATATCGCACATCGGAATGCGCTAAAGCCCCAAGCATTAAACAATAATGTCTTACAATCGTCAAATGCATTCATTCTTACACCACTTGTTGACGTATAAATTATTACTATGTAACGTAAAAGTTATCGTTCGAGTTAACCGGCAGCAATATAATACTTGAAAGCAAAATAATAATGATTTACTTATATGTTGGTCAAACATTATAAATTATAATACTATATACTATCGTCGAATATTGTATTCCATATTTCGTACGTCATTGCTTCCACAAACTTCGTGAGGTTAATTTTATTCGTAGAATATTTATACAAATAATCGGAAATGTTGTTTCTCAATCGATTATTTTTCCTTAATTTATTTTGTTATTCATAGTATGTAGGTATCCGAAGTTCTTAATACAACAGCTGGACTTGTAGCAGTCACATTGTTGATCAAATCTACAGTGAAACTAAGCACAGTTTTTAGTATTTACAATGTTTATATGAAGGTTAGCCAATAAACACTCATCTTAGGGACACCAAGCTACAATAAACAAAAAAGGCATATCATTTGGATTTCGTATACAAAACATAATCGTGAATATAAGAAATTAAAGGTGTAGGTATGCGTCGTTTTATTGGTAAGGGATGATTTCGTGTTCTGCAGTTGTAGTAAGTCGCTATATATAAACTACACTGGGGGATCTCGAATTTTTTTATGGCAGTGGTGATAATAAAGCTCCTTATAGGTACCTACTTACTTATCATGATCAACTTCGGGTCGAACACAAATTTAACCTATTTTTTGAGAGTTGGTAGTCTACAATATTAATAAGTTTAGTTAACTGATATCTAAGTAATTTATAATTTAAATAAAAGTTAAATTTGCTGAACGGTGGGTGCTTCAGATCCCAACAAGGGACCTCTCCCCTTAAACCCGCCACTGTACTCACAGATATTCCGGCGTTATTAAACCAATACCGGCGATACCTAATATTATTGTCATAATACCGAGTTTTAATTATTTTTCTGAAAATAATAACGCTGTCTGTCTAATATCTCTTGTTGAGACTACTCGAGGGGGATGTAAAACCATAAGTCAGTTAATAGTATTACTATGCAGTGCGTGGTGCAAGTTGGCTTACTGAATACGTTTTTCGCGTATGACCTCTAATCCACGAAAGCGGAAAAAACTGTACGAATTATACGAGCTATGCGCACCACGTGTGTTACATATTTACACAGAGTTACATATTATAATATATTAATATAATGTGATATTGTATTATGCAGTCCGGTCGGGACCGAAAAAAGCGAAGGGGCGTGCTCGTCTTACAATACTAACCTGTCCAAAGTGTATCAGCTTGTCGCAGACAATTTGCCGATTTGTACGCACGATTAAACAAATAAAACTATAATAGTAGAAATATCATACTGGAATTTATTTATCACACACAAAACGTCGCATCCGCATGAACACTGTATGCAGATTAAATTAATAATTATAAAATATGAGTAGAATAATATTAATACAATATGAGACAATTTACGAACGACACAGTTTAATATATTGAAATCATTTAGACAAAATAGAAAATTTCAACATTCAGCCATTGATTGATTGTATTTTATATTATTTAACCAATGATTCAATTAACATCGACACAAAAAAAAAAAAGTTTAAAAACTGACAGTGCATACAAAGGCAATAATATTTAAAGTGATCGGTAATGGAGACACAAAATCAGATACCGCACGCCGATAATAATTATCAAATTATTAGATATTCCCGTTTTCAAACAACCAGAATCTTTGATGTAAGACGGGTTGTTGATGACCAAACATTTGGGTAAAATAATTTTAAAAAAAAAATACTTTTAAAAATTATTTGAGGTAAATACTCAAATACTCATTAAAAAACATTATTCAGAATATGCATTCAAATTTTGAATACTTCACAAAAATAGTATTCTGGGTAAAGAATTTCAAATAATTTCAAAATATTTTTTAGTTTTCGTTTTAAATATTAAACCAATGATACTTTTCTTCGAGAAAAATTTAAATTAGCACCAACACAATAATATATAATTTAATAATCTAAATATAATAAAATTTAAGTCGTTGATATTTGATTTACAATTTTAAAATGTGTATAATATTATAATTTACAGTGTAAACATTTCTAGAAAAACAAGCAAAATAATTATTATTGTAAATAAAATGTATTTTTCTATAGGAATAAAATAGGTAATCTTCAAAAGTATATTCTAAATATTTTTTTAGAATACTTTTGGGAAAAATATTTTAAAATTATTCTGAATACTATCCAAGACTGGATAACTGTGCCTAATTCATGACCAGAATCCAGCTGACATACAGTTTTAAATTTTAAACCACATTTCAATCAATTATACGGCTTTTACAGAAGAATTTTTTTTCGTCCCCAAATTGCATCGAATTTGCCTAACTTTGCCTTACTTGTTCTCAAAATTAATTAAAAACAATTTTCGAAATCAATTATGGTAATTAGATATGATAATTAATATTATGATATTAATATACTTTCTTCTTTTTTCAAAACTTTTATACCTAGTTGAAATATACCTACTACGTAGGCTCCTTTTACTTAAAACTATTTACGGTAAATATAGTACTATAAATAATTTACCATAAAAAATTGCTATTGTAGATTACTAAATTACAGTAATTTGACGCATATAGTATTATAGTATTCACTCACTAATGGCAATTTACAATACATACCATGTCAGTATGTGACAACGAGTGTTTAAAAAGATGTCCTCCATTGGGCCAACGTCCAAAAGCACTATTTTCATTCAGCCGAGTTCATTATTATTGATTATAATTAAAAATTAAAATTATATTTTATTTTACAAAATGTATAGTCCTATAATATTATAATTTGGTCACATTGTTAATTAAATACCCACATTATTTCATTTTCTAAACACGTGTAACTTATTTTTGTCCACCACTCAATAATATACAATGCTTATTTACGTAAATTATTATGCATTTGTCAACAACTACAGAGATTTCGTCGTAAACGATTTCGTTTCATAAATAAAAGATACCTCAAAAATGCATAGCAATGTATTTATTAATCAATATTACCTACCTATGATGGATAACACTGTCCATTTTTACACACCGTATACGGTATACATCTATTTACCTACCTACGTAAAACATTAATTGAACTTGTTATACATATTTAATTATTAAAAATTAGTGATCATTCACGTAGGTAATCGTCTCCAAACTGTTATTGTACAATAAGTTTATTATAATAGGATCTGTTTTTTTTTTCCATGGCTATCTGCTGGTATTTTCTAGAATCGAAGTATACGTCTTCATATTAGATGAGTGAATATTATTAAGACATGTTGTTTATCTAATCTAAAATGTATCATGAATTCAAATGAGTGAAACGTTAAAAATATTCAGATATGTGACGATCTCAAGACTACCTAACATAGTAATGACTTAATAAGATTTCGAAAAAAAAAAGTTAGTAATAATTACTTTGATATCGGAATATTTTAAAAGGACTAGAAAAATTTTTATTGCTCCAAAACGTACTGATCATACATTGAAAAAAAATGTATCATTGTAAAACTTCTCAGATTACACAAGAGCTTAATATCATTTTGAAACAAATTTTAAATACGCTTCTGGGCATGACACAGCCGACGCGATGTTGTTACAATTTCGTATAGTAAATAATATCGGGTAATGTATAATCGATTTCGTATGAAATACAAGGTCTTCGTGTTTTCCTAATCCCCACATGAAAACTATCGGGAAGGTTCTTTACAATACGACAGTATATAAGCACCGGTCATCGTCTTTCATATCACAGTCAAAGTTTGGTCTTCTAACCAGTATTTGACAACGGCATCAAAATATTAATTCGTAATATCTACTTTTGTGCACTTCGACATTATTTGTTGTAAATTGTACCTTCTTTTCCATTTCAATTTAACTAACAACAACGGCAACCACTATGAATTCTGTTCAGGTAAGTGAATATTTTTTAAGTGGCCGGACTTCTAACGATTTCATATAAGTACATCCCTTACGCTCAGTAAAGGAAAATATTAAAACGTTTTCCCGGTCATACTGCGGCCATCTTGGTAACGCAATTATTTTCATGTATTCATGTATGTGTTTATTGCTTGTGTAGATCTGTTTGATGTTGGCCACTAGTGGCTTGGTGCTGGTTTCGGCCAACCCGGGAGGATCATACAACTACGCATACAACTTGAACGATGCAGCCACCGGAGAAATCCGTGAGACCAAAGCCTGCAATGACCAGGTGGTATATGACGACAAACCGACAATTGTGGCCTCCAAGAACTTTATCTCCGAACCCATGATCGCATCTGTGACCTCAGGACCGGTCATCAACACTGAATTTGTGTCCTCGACTCCAGCATCAATCTTGCGTTCTGATTTCGATTCATCCCGGATCGTGCAGGCCGCCGCCCCACTGATAGAAACAAAAATTGAGTCCGAACCAATGATTTATTCTGCTCGTGCCGAATACTCTCCTCTTCCCAAGTACGCCGCTCCATTGTTAGAAACAAAAATCGCAGCCGAACCACTGACGTACGTTTCTCGTCCAGCATACGCTCCTCTTCCCAAGTTCTCCGCACCGATCACCGTCACCGCCGCTCCGATGTTGGAAACCAGGATTGCAGCTGAACCACTGACGTACGTTTCTCGTCCCGAATACGCTCCTCTTCCCAAGTACTCCGCACCGATCACCGTCACCGCCGCTCCGATGTTGGAAACCAGGATTGCAGCTGAACCACTGACGTACGTTTCTCGTCCCGAATACGCACCTGCCGCACCTCTTGTCAAGTACGCAAGTCCCGCTCCACTAGTTGTGTCCAGACCGCAAACTCCGATCGTGCACGTCCAAGCCCCGGCCCAAATCATCAAGTCCGCTCAACTCCAATCGTACGGCAGCCTGTCCACGTCACACTCACACAAATCGTACGTCAACCACCCACAAGCTTCACTTAAAATCGCCGCCGTCGCACCTCAGTACTACGCGGCCGCACCTGCAGCACCACAATATTATACAGCACCCGCCATGGTCGCAAAGGAATACCACGTGCAGGCCGCTCCCGCAGCAATGGAATACCATTCAGCAGCCCCAGTCGCGTGGCAATCCGCCCCAGCACCGATCGCCTTGAAGATCGCCAACCCCGTGGTACACTCCAACGTTGCCTTGCACCAGGCCGCCGCACCCCTGTTCGCCCCGGCCGCACAGTACGCGTACCGCGCCGTTTCGTCTCCAGCGAGCTCGTACCAGTACGCCAAACACTGGAACAATTACGAACAGTTGGCCGCCACCAGTCAATTGCGCTACTCCGCCGCTGCCAGTCCACAGTACTATTCGTCCGTGATCCAGCAGCCCCAATTCGACTACGCCACCGCGACCCAAGTTCAAAATTTGGGCCAATACGACGGCCAGGAACTACCATGCGAAAAATAGACGTCGTCACCAGACCATAGCATCTTATGATTTATCGACTTGTTTTCCTTTGTCAATTATATTATAAATAATTATGCTATTATATGTTTATACTAATACTTAATAATGGTTTTTTTTGTCATTTTTTACATTCTATCCCTCGTCGGTTACAAATTATTATTATAATATATCTTAACACGATAATGTTACTTACCAATGTGTAAACGGTGGTAGATATTGTATTGCTTCTCGTATGCAGTTCTTGAAAGAAAATACTATCAGTATATCGTTTGTATAATGTATATAATATAATATTATATACGAATCGATATGAAAAAAATTTCCGTAAAAGGCATAATGTGCACATGCATCATCAATACTGTTATGACTTGCAAAGGTCGTGTATGTGAAGTTAAAAAAAAAACAAACTTTACTCTTTTGAAAACTATTATAATATGTGTACATTTACAGGAAATTAATTCGATGATCCGTTATTATCTTCTACATACCAGGAGGAGATCCATTTTAAGGGCCTCCACATAGTATTATTTGGAAGTCTTAACTTTTTTGAAAATAATATTTTTATATAATTTGATGTAATTTCAAAACAACATTTCTGAAAACAATAAAATATATTGCTTACTATTTTTTATCGATATAATTTTTTAAGTGTTATAGTTTCTTAAGTGACTACATAGGTAAGTTTTTCTTTCATATTCTGAAGCATGCTATTCGGAGTATTTCAATGTTTAAAAATCTCATTTTCGAAATGATGAGTAGACATAAGTTATTATAAATACACTTCAATGAATCACCATCGTGTTATATAAAACAAAGTAATAATTTCTTAGATCGTCCAATTCATTTGATACATGTAGTAGTTATATATATCATCATCAAGGAGATAGGCCAACACGATATTTTTCTACATAATTATAAATATTGCATATTGCGTGTTGTAATTTATAATGAAGAAATGCAATTTACACCAATTATAGTATTATAATATAATATTATATTTTCGACGAATTTATTGAAAGTGGAGAATAATAAAAGACTTAAGGTTTTTTTTTCAATGGCTCGAGAGGGAATGACACTGTATTATACTATATATTATATTTATTATTTATACCTATATTACTGTATATAGTTACAACTCCGCGTACAACAAAAATATTGAACGATCGTAAACATAATATATAATCGGTTTTACAGGTATAATAATATTAACTTCTCTATCACTATATTATTATTATTAAACCGTCTGGTAAATAAAACATTTCTGCTAACCTAACGTGAGGGGAGCGTAAATAATATTATCGCCCACGTGCAATACACTTGACAGAAAAGGACCATTATAGAAATAATTATTAGTACCTACACTGCAGCTATAATACTATATAATATTATCAGTATATTTGTTTTACCGCCAAACAGACTATGGTCTGCATAAAACATGTATTAAATAATGATAATAATGATAATATTATTATAATGGATGCGTATTTGAGTACAATATCATTGGACAATGTGTACACTCGAAACCTGCAATATGCGTTTGGTGAAATAGACTGAATGATCAATGCGATTCGTACTGCAAACATACATTAACAAACGACATAATATTATTATCATTGTAATGTAAACAGTATAACGGCCAAGTGTATTTGTCTGTTGTGTTGTATTATTGTGATAGCACTTGTACATTACCCATAATAAATGTCTGTGGACAGTATATACAATATACAGTTAAGTCATATTGTAATATCATCACCGTCGTCGTATATTATATAGGTATTGACACATTGAAGGTTTTGAATTTAACTAGCGTATGGTTTGGTCGTTGTACCTACACTTGGTGTGTTTGTTGGTTGTTGTGTGATCACATTTTGCGGATAAAATCACTCTGAATACGAATAATGATAGGAATTATATACCTACCTAAGTGTTAGTCACTTACCTCGGTGTGTACCTAGGTAGGTATTCGCGAGCATGACCCACGAAATAACTCCGATTCCGATACATGTATAATATACATTATACTAATATTGTCTAATGTTTATACATATGCTGCAAAACAAACCGAAATAATATAATATATTATTTAAAATCGATTACGAAAATAAACAGTACCTACTTTCGTTTGCGTTTAGATGTAGCCGCGGTACTTACATTATATAATGATATGTTAATATTGGTTTTCTTAATTAAAAATAAGTTTCACTGTTTAACACGTGACATATTATAGAGAATAAATAAACTGTAAAAGTTAAAACTCATAATAATATTATATAAATAATAGGTTATGCCTGACATAGGTAGATATTATATAAAAGATATAGATTAGGTGAGGTATAGGCTACTATTAGTATTTTTGTTGATTATTATTATTTTTTTGTTTTTTTATTTTTTGGCTTAGTTTAGGCCAAATATTGTTGATTACATTATACCTATATAATTTAAGATGTAACATAATTCGTCACAGTTAAGTAGTATCGTTAACACACAAAAGCCTAAAACTAAATGGTTCAGCAAACGACAAAATGTATAAAAACAAATTGTAAATGATCTACGGATAAATGATTCGTTAATTTAGTCGACACAAACGTCAAATTGACAAATCACTATACATAATATTATGTTGTGAAATAAGAAAGAATATAGTTGGTGCATTTTCGACAAAATATTTAGATGCTATTATTTAAAATATTTGAAAGTTTCACAATCACTATATGATATGTGACACATGATGTAATTAAAAAAAGATTAATTAACTTCAGTCGACTGAGTTAGATTGACCTGTTTTAGGTAGGTATTTAATACTACCTATAGATACTTATTGTATATTTGACAATACAATTTACAACTAAATTGCGGCAATCAACTATATCGGCGCTGATAAAATGAAAGTTTCATTTAACATGTGCCATCAGTACCTATACTAGCGGCGAGAGTGATTGGACGGTAATAAAACCGTGGCCGACATTAATTAGAATTCCATTTGCCCTTCTACCATAGTACGGTTTCCGCTACTTTATAGGCTAAGCTAGCCATTGGCCATAGATGAATACATATCGTGCGGAATGCATAGAAAAATGGCGACGGACCGCTACCAAGAACTGCCGTGGTCACCGCGGTTAACCGATCGGTCTCGGACATCGCGTGACAGTGTCACCACAAAAACTTTACTATATAAGCTAGTCAACAAAATATAAATTATAATACAATATACCACTGAGGCTGGGGCTTCATTTTTGGGGGGCAGGGGAGGGGGTAAATTTGCACCGACTTTTTTTTAAAACCCCTTCTTTGGTCTGCCAACAATAAATATATAAGAGCCGATATAGGTACGTAAGTGTTTTATATTATATATGTTTTATATTTTTTCAGTATTAAAAGAAAAAAATGAATTGTACCAATGTTTGATGTGGTTTTGTGGTCCCGCAATATTATGATTGATAAAATTATAACACAAACATTGTGACGAAGGGTACCCATAAAATAAATTTCTGGTTTTCTTCAGCCACCTATACCTATTAATTATTATATTTTTGGAGTATGCAGGGAGAAGAAATGTGTAGGTTAAGTTCGGTTAGGTGTTTTATTAATTACTATTATACAGGAGTTGAGGTGTTCATACCATACTAGATATTCAAATACGCAATAATGATACTACGGTTGGTCGTCGTTTTATTGATTCTCGTTTACAAATCACAACGGTATAGCAAACCTATAGGTATGACCCATATAACTTATAAGTTAAATAATATTAGTCGTTTAACGTATTACTTGGAATTACTATGAAATTTAACTATAATATTATATTATTATAAACACGCATTATTTATGTTTGTTGCACGTCATACACTCATACCAATAGTATTATATAGTCGACGAGAAGTCTGATAAATGATAATTCTACGGAAAACCGTCTCTACGAAATTACTTATATAATTTTCATATATATTTTACTTATTCGTATTTTATTTATTTAGTTATTTAAAATATATTTTAGCTTTCCCGTACAACGGTACACACCTTGATGACGACCATTGCTAAAATATTATGGGTATTTAAGCAGAAACATTAAAAGAAAAGTGTTTTTTGGACCACCATAATGTATTATTTTAAGATTGTATTATTAGAGACTTTGGAAAACGGATTTTGGATAATTTATTTTTCAGTTGAAAAAACATAATATATTTAAATTTGCTCAGGATTTTATAATTTTATGACAAAATAGGATAATCCAGTGGCTATGACATATCGTTGTCACACGTTCACGAACGTTTTAAGAATGAGGATAAAATATAAATTACATCTCTACAAACTATTTGTTATAAAAATGTCCTCGTATATGGTAAATTATTATGTGCTCACTTTATTAGTTTTAAATACACATTGTTTTTTAAATAACTTTTTGCTCATCTTATCCAATGATAATGTAAAAGTGATCAGAACAGTTCTAGAACAAGTAAAATAAAAATTTTAAAAAATAGATCTTATGTTGTGTTGTGGTTGCACGCATGTCTTCTAATGGATAAATATTATATTATGTAAAATTAATTTGTATAATAATCAGTGATTAGTACGTAGGTAATTATTTATATTATCGGTGTCAATATATTATTATGCATTGTATGTAAATTATTTACAAGTTATATAATTCGCGTTTCTACGTATCGTTCACAAAGAGGAAAACTTAATTTATGAAATTTACATATAAATAGATTATATTGTATTATATTTTATTATAGATACAGAAATAGATTTAAATTCTAGTATAATAATTTGTTGGTAGTTACTAGAATTCGCTCTCTTTGATTATTTCCATACATTATGGTAATTTAAATTACAAATCATATAATATCTACTACTAGTATTTTATTTTCAGGATAATCATGATGAATAGCAAATATTATCTATACATAAATCAACTAAATCGATTATCAAAAATATATTTTTTAAGTAATTAGTATTATAAAAGAAGTATATAATAAAACAAAATATTATACATAATA